ATTTTTGTGCACCGGGCCCCTAGTCCTATATAATAAAAGCCTAATATGCAAATTGACCAAACAGCAGAACGACCAGTTGCTATGATGTGCACTGATCACCAGGGGCAGACACTCAATGCAGGAACTGCCCCCAGCCTGCAGGCCCCAGGCCAGCCAAGGCGGGTGCCAGCGGGGGAGCCCCCAATTGCCCCACCAGTCACCTCCCTCTGCGGGAGGCGGCCGGCAGCAGCAGGGGACGGGGCCAGTGAGCTGGCGGCACCAGGCCAGCCAAGGCAGGTGCCAGTGGGGGCGCCCCCCGATTGCCCTGTCAATTGTCCCTGATTGCCGGCCAGACCTAGGGACCCTACCCATGCATGAATTTCATGCAATGGGCCTCTGGTACATATATAATTTTGGATATGTCTTTATATACTAGAGGCCCAGTGCACAAAATTTGTGCACTTGGAGGGCGGGGTTCCTCAGCCTGGTCTGTGCCCTCTCACAATGTGGGAGCCCCATGATCGATCTCCCTAAAGAGGTAGGCCCTGCCTACCCATCCGGGGTTCCTCGATGAATTGCCCCAAAGAGGTAGGTCAGAGCTGGGGGTGCCGCCTCCACAGCTCTGCGTGCACACAGCGCCCCCATGCACGCAGCCCCGCCCACCGATGTGCGCCTGCAGCCTCCTGGTGATGGATTGTTACGGTGTGAGGGCATCATGACGTGAAGGCATGATGACCACATAGGCTTTTATTACTATAGATATATACACACACATATAGCCAAGAACACAGTGCTGCTATGGAAATCTAAAGTGCTCTAGGTAAGAATGCTCCTGGGCTTCCAGGGATTGGAGTCTTCCCCAGATTCCAATATGCTCTCTGTGGCTGAGAAGTACTAATAAAGGGTGTTCCTTTTTTATACTTGGCAGTGTACCAGACATAGAAGGCACTCTTTATCAGGACCTTATTCCCCCTTCATCGTTGCACAGTGTTCCACTGGACAGACAACGTGACTGATTGATCCAGTTCCCTATTAATGAACACCTAGGATAGTTCCCATTTTTTGCTCTGACAATCAGTGCCCTAATGAGCCACCTTGGACACAGATTATTCTCACACTTGGGAACATCTGTAGGCAAAAGCTCCCAGAAGTAGAACTGCTGGGGCAAAGAATAGTTGTGTCCAAGGGTCCCCTTGACAGATGTTGCCAAAGTCCCATCCAAAGTGACACTAAAACTTCATTTCATTCCTGAGCTTCTAGCTCAGAGGTCCCAGGAAGAGGATGCAGTAGGCATCTAGGAGGGGACAGAGGGAACAATGACCCCTGCCAGCCTGCCTACAGTTGATTGGCCCAGGGAGAATACCTGACCTCTGCTGGACCATCTTGAGAACCCCTTCCCTGGTCCTTGATAATAAATCCAAAGGAAGACATCTTTCTCTTCCTTGTGTTGTTTTGGGCTGGGGCTGGGAGAACACAGAGCTATTCTCTTTGAGAGCCTGAACTACAAGGTCTGTGGATGGCCAGGTTTCCCACCAAGTGAAGGGAAAGGCAAAAAGAGAGACTATAATAGGCGAAAATGAATATAGCAGATGTAGGGGGAAAGCAGTGAGGAAGAGAATCCTGATAATGGCATTTGTGTTCCATAGGCTGGCTGCTTCCCAGCATCCATTCTGCCTTTGTAGCCCCTTAGTGATCCCACACCCTTGCCAGTGATTGGTTCAGGGGAGGTCACATTACCTGCGCTAGTCCAATCCAAGGGGAGCTCTGAAGCTTTGCACTATGGTTGGGGGACAGATATCCTCTCTCTCAGGCCAGAGCTGAGGAGAAATAAACCTGGATCAGTGTTGGCAGCCAGTCCTCCGGGGAAGCCAGGTTTGAGGATGACATGGACATCAGAGAGAAGAATGGAGGGAGAGAAAGAAAGTGGGTCATTGATGATGGCCCTGAGCTCCTGGATCAACTAGCCCAGAATCTCGCCCCACCTCTGAGCTTTCTAGTCATGTGAGCCAATCCTGTCCCTTGGAGTTTATGCCTGTTTGAGTCAGTGTTTCTTTTCCATGCAACCAAGTAACTGACTGGTACACAGTCCTTCCTGAAGCCTTGTTTTGTTTCTCTGGGCCACCCAGCACCCTCTAGTTAAATCCTCCTTTGCCTAAGGTGCTCTGAGAGCAGTATAGCAATTTGGCCAAGGACCTAACTTGCCCAGCCAGTTTCCCCAGCTATGAAATGGGAATAACAAACACTTCTTTGGGTTTTAAAAGGATTAAACACATTAGCAATAATTATTCTAAAGTACTGAAGGGTAGCTGAAAGGCTTCAACCTCAAAAAGCAATTAGCTGCACCCCTCCCCCATTTTGTTTGCTGTTCCTTTGTTCAGGTCAGCAAGTCCATTCTTCACAAACAGTCCCAAAGAACAGCCAGCACATTTTCTGTCAGGAGGGTGGCAAATCCCATCTCAACAGGTGATCTGAGTAAAAGAGATTCCACTCAACTCATCTGGTAGCTGGGTGGTAGAGGAAGCCCTCATGAGCGCATTTTCCATCAAATGCAAGCTGGGGTCTAAAGTTTCAAAACACAGGCTTGGGCACAGTCCCAGAAGAGGACAAAGGAAAGAGAGCCCGGATGGAAGAGAAACTGCTACACAGCAGGTTCCACAACTAACTGTTGGGAGGAGGACCCCAGGTTGGCTTGCAGCCACATCTGCTCTCTACAGAGCTATGAGGCAGCAGGAAGAAGAGACCCCTCCACGTCTGTATTTACAGCTGGGAACTGGCACGGGCCTGGGCAACTCAGTTGGAAATAAACTCAGCCAGGAAGTGAAAACTGGAAGACGCTTCCATAGCAACACCCATCTGGAGTTCTCTGCCCACAGCTGGAAACATTCAGAAGCAAAATTTATCTAGAGATGTACACCAAATTCATTTTTTCCATTTGCACTGGAATGTGTTACTTAAACCTCACTTCTTTGGGGAGCCTTTGGGTAGGCCCTGTTCTGTGATTCAAAAAAATCCTTCTTCTTAACATTTAGAACACAGGACCTATCCGTGTGACCATGTTTTCCTGCTGTCTGTGGGCTTCACGGGCAGGGTCTGTGTCTGCTTTGCTAATTGGTTCCTGGCCCAGAACAGGCCTTCAATCAGTGTTTATTGAATAAATCAATCAACTGTTCTGTTCCCAATTTGATTGTTATTCATTACTTTAGCTAACATGTAAGCACCCATAAGTATGGACCAGGGGTCCTCAAACTACGGCCCGCGGGCCTCATGCAGCCCTTCGAAAACATTTATCCGGCCCGCCGGGGGTTTTTGCCGCTGCTGTGTGCATAGAAATTTGTTCATAGTTTTTTTTTAAACTATAGTCCGGCCCTCCAACGGTCTGAGGGACAATGAACTGGCCCCCTGTTTAAAAAGTTTGAGGACCCCTGGTATGGACAGTGAGCTGAGCTGTGTACTTACTACTGTCATGCCCATCTAAAAATGGGCTCCTTCTCAAAGTCAGAGCCACAGAAAAAATGGAGTTCTTTCATTTCTAGAGAAGGATGGGAGAGAGCGTGAATACCTAGAGCAAGACTGGGCATGTGAAGCAATGGGTGTTAAGGAATCTGCTTTGATTTTAAGAACTTTCTGAGTAGAAATTTTACAGGGCTGACGTACACTTCTGCAAGGAAGGCTGGAAACAGGCTGCTTGAGATACACAAACATTAAACAGACAGTTACACTCTGAGAGATTTCCACCAAACTGCTCTGCTCATGATATCTTACCTTTTCAAATTTTCCTGTTTATGAAAGAGGTATATGCTTATATATACATGTAAAAACTTATAAAATAAAGGTATAAAGAAGAATACAAAGTTACCCATATCTCCCCACCAAAGGATAACCACTATAAAAAAGTTGGTTCACCCTGGCCGTGTGCTCAATGGTTACAGTCAGCCTGTGCACCGAAGAGTCTCAGATTCAATTTCCAGTCAAGGGCACATCCTGGGTTGCAGGTTTGATCCAGGGCCCCAGTGTGGGAGGCAACCAATTGATCAATGTGTCTCATATTGATGTTTCTCTCTCTTCCCCATGTCCTATTTTCTCTCTCTCTCCACTCTCTCTCTCCAAAAAAAAAAAAAAAAAAATCAATGGAAAGATATCCTCTGGTAAGGATTAACAACAGCAAAAAAAGAGGTTGGTTCATTTCCTTCCAGTCTTTTTTTTTTTTTTTTTCTATTATGAGCAGTATATGGATAGAGAAGAGAGAAAATCTCCTGTTCTTTAAAATCTTTCACCTGTGCTTTTCTAGGGGATTTTAAACAACAAGTGGAAATCAGTATTTTTAAATAGCAAAATTAAGCCTATTTCCCCAAACTACAGACTCGAGGAAGAAGGATTCTCTCTTCCTCTCTTCCAATTTTTGTCCTCACAGAACCACTATTATAAACCAGTGGTTTTCAACCCTAACTGTGCCTGAGCATCACAGTGGGATATAATAATTGCATGGCCAGTATTACTTGAGCAACTACTACAGAAGAGGCTGTTTTAAACATTTTACAAACAATACTTAATTTTATACTTTCAATACTTTCATCATTTTACAGATAAGGAAACTGAGGCAGAGATATTAAGTGACTTTCATAAGGTCACATGGCCACTAAGTGGTGGCGCTGGGATTTGAACCCAGGCCATCTGGTCCCAAGTGTCATGTTTTCCCTGGTCCACACAGTTCAAGACCCTAGCAACAGTGACACCAACTTTGAGCTTCAGGGCAAAGTTCCCAATGTCCCTATTGCCAAGTTTGTCATGATTATTCATACTTCTCTCCAGACTCATTTTTATTTCCTAAAGGAAATGAGAAATTGCTGGAATTCAGAAGTGAGACAACTGGAAGTTATAGCTGACCACATACACATGTGGGTCCCCTGCTGGACTTCCCAAGAAACTTCTTAATGAATGACTTTTCTGGAGGGGCTAGGGGTCAGTTCCTGGGTAGATCACCCTTCCATAACTGAGACCTCACCCAGCTCCAGATGGGATGTGAAGGCTCCTCCCTAACTTCACCATGTAGGAGGATGGAGAACTGGAAAACTCACAGCCCACTACCTATTTACATGAATCTGCAGAAAGGGTTTGACAGGGACTTCTCTTGTGTTTACATAATTAGTGAGGTTGGAGTCAGTATTCAGTCACTGTGGGGGATCAGCCAGATATGTTTTTGCCATCATCGCACATGACTCCCTCCTCATGGCAAAACCAGAATAGCCACTAAGGGGAGAGTGGGGGGAGGAGTTCCCAAGAATTGATCACTAGGGAGTTTGTCTCCCCTACAGGTGGGAAGGGAAAAACCTCCATTTCAGGAAAATGTCGCTCAGTGCTCAATTCAGGGAAGGAGATGAAACATTGCTGCTTTGGGTCTGAGAGCTACTATCCTTCCAGCTACCCATGGAGAGGAGGACTGGAAAAACCAAGGGCTGCAAGGCTGCCCAACTCCACCTGTGTACAGCAGGGGCTCAGTAATGTTTCGATGTTATTAAATTACTAGGCTGTGTGTGTGTGTGTGTGTGTGTGTTTATTTGTGTGCTGGGGTGGTGAATGGGGCTGTTTGTTGTTGCTGTTGTTAAAATTCTAAAAAAGTAGAGAGAAAGTACAGTAAACTCCCATGTACTTAAACTAGATTTGGTAATCATCAAGATTCTGCCGCATAAGCTTCATCTATTCTTAATTTGTTTCTTTCCCCCATTTTTCCTCCTCATTGAATTATATTAAAGTAAATCCCAAATATGATGTCATTTCACCATTTCATGTTTCAGATTGCACCTCTGAAAAATATGGACACTGTCTGATGTACCCATAATATAGGCTGGTTTCATTACTGATCAAAATAACAATGAGGCTCAGCCAGTTTGGCTCAGTGGTTAGAGTGTCAGCACACAGACTGAAGGGTCCTGGGTTTGATTCTGATCCAGAGCATGTGCCTCGGTTGCCCTGGTTGGGGCTCGTGCGCGTGCGGAGGCAATCAATCAATGTTTCTTTCTCTCTGTCTCTCCCCCTCCTTTCTACTCCCTCTAAAAATCAATGGGGGAAAATATATCCTCAGGTGAGGAATAACAACAATAACAACAAAATAACAATGAATATTTTTCTAAAAGATAAGACCCAGTATTGACAAAGGAGTAGGGAAATGGGTCATCTCAGCTGATGAAGTAATGCTTTTCTGGAGGACTTCCTGGCAGTACAAATCCAAAAAGAATTAACAACCTCTGCCTATCTTCTGACTCAAGTTTTCCATCATGCGATCATCAAAAAAATACTTATGGATGTCTATCACATGCCTGAAAGTATCCTAAGCGTTTTTCTCCCTGGTACAGATATGGAAATCAAGGCACAGAGAGGTAGAGTCATTTGTCCAAGGTTACACAGCTCTTAAGTGCCAGAGCCAATATTTGAACTGAAGCAATCTCAGGTCTGAGAAAGGTGGCGTTCTGGGCCTTCCTCACTTGGGAGGCCACTTGCTTCAGGTTCCACACAGCACTCTCTATGCATACTTATTATTATTATGTTAATGTTTATTATGTTGAATCTAGTGAATGATTATTATGTGGAATCTTCATATGAGATACATAGCAGAACTCTTGTTCACCTTTCAAAGGCCAGTGCATGTGTTCTACATACTCCTATCTTCTTTATAGTTCACTCTCCCTGACTGCCTGAGCAGAATTTCCCTCTCCTCTGTGTTCCCACAGCTTTTGGTGCTCAACACTCAGCACCCTGCATTATAGTGTTATGCCCAAATTTCAAGATCCCCAACAGAACCACCAGGGAGCGCCGAGTCCGA